CAGTTTCTTCAAAAAATTAGTAACCTTTTGTAGGATGTCAGGGATTCTAAACTCTAAGAGACTAAAAAGTATTCCATTCATTAATTAAAGGATGAAAATTAGCAAACATAATTCTGTAATTTACTTAAACCTGCAGAATATGCTTCAAAAGTCTTAACAATATTCCTTTGGTTGCTAGTAAAAAAATTATAATTTTTAAGCTAATCTTTTTCTACTGCAATAATAGCTAAAGAATAAATAAGTATTATTAAAGCCTTATAAATGTGTTCTGGCAGTTTTCATCAATTTCTTCTCTATTCAATTTTATTACTCTTGTTATTTTTAGTATTACATTTACATTCCATATTTTTTATTATTTTGATAATATTTCTATTTGGCCAATAATTATTTCAAAAGGAACCCATTTCCTGTTTTTTAAAAAGACAATGTTTCCAAGCAATAGTAGAAATTAAAGATGAATGGTATTATTAACGATCATTGGTGTAAATATTTGTGAAGTTGTTTTTGTGTTCATGTTATTTATTTCTGTGAATATTTTAATGGAAAGAATTAAATATTTTTACTACTTTTAAATCATTTGCGTCATTCAAAAAATTAATAGGGTAACATATATATGTGATGATATAATTTAGTTCCTTGCAGTAATTTGATATGAGATGAGTGCTTGACTAGGGAAGACATTATTTTGCAGTCGCGAGTGGATTGAGAATTAGAAGATCACTGAAAATATCAATTACTTAGCAGAAGATGCCAGGAAATTTTGAAGAGTAACAAAAATCACTGGATAATTCAAATATCTCTTTATTACTTGTTGTTCTTTGGGATGGCACACAATTGGGCTAATCTGCACCTCACAGTTTTGATGATTACACATTACATTTTTAACAGAAGCAGCCAAGCAAGAGATGTCCTCTAACTAGCAAGCATAGGCAGCGAAAGAGGGAGGGTACTTGGATTGCAACAATATTTATAGTAAATATTTTTCGTTAATCTGATTGGCTAAAACTTATAAGCAATGCAGATGTTTAAGATGACATGATGCAGAATTAGTTTCAGATATGTTGCGGTTTCGAGAAAGTTATTTCAAGAGAGGACGTACCCAAATTAAAAATGAACAATTAAGAGGCCTTTTTAAGTTATAATTTTGATTTGTGTATTTTTTGTATTACATATTTATATGGAAAAATAGAATAAAAAATATGTATATTACGATATTAATAAATCTGTCATATAGCTTTATAGATTGGGAAGAAATAACATTTAACAATCCAAAGACTTTCACCAACATGTCAAAGTAGCTAACATTGCTGCACTTTTGGTGTGAAAACAATACATTGTAGAAATACTCTATGAGGCCACAGCAAAAACAGAAATAAACAACAAATTTGGATAGTATTTTTTTTAAATCTATAGCTCCTCAAGTAAAATATATATTTATTAAAATCCACAAGTTGTGTATTATAAGTTTCAGTATTTTAACTTAAATATTCTCAGAATCCAGTTCTGAAGCAGTACTTTTTAATCTAATAGGTCATGGCTTGTGAATGCACATACACTTTCACAAATAAAATATATAACATGTGCATTTCCAGATATTAAAAAAATATGTGACTGCTAAGTAATGTTTTACAATAAGACCTGGCTTCAGATGGATGAAAATATACTATGCCATTAAATTCATCAATAAAGCTGCTTTAATGCATTTGTACTATTATCCATTTTTGCAAAAATACTATTACATACATTGAGAAATTAATCCTTTTTATGCCTTTTGCTGTTGAATCTATAATAATGCATTCTGTAATATACCTATTCATCCTGTTAAATTCTGTAGGTCTGCAGCCTCCATATAATATATGATCAATAATTTTTCTTGGAAATATTAACACGTTACTCAGCAGTAAAAAGGTTTAATTTTTTTAACTTGCAATTCTATATCTCTTGAACATACCTGAATTCACAAATATTGAATTTATTTGATGAAAACAATAACAATATGGATTCAAATTACCTACACACAGGAATTCCAAATGGCTAAAATATTTTCAAAGATATCACACAAAGCATTTCAAAGATTTTGGTAACCTACCAAAGCAAAAGTGGAATTGGTTAATGGGTTATAAATATTTTCAAGATTCAAAAAGCTTGAAAATACACATACTGTGAAATCAACAAAGGCAATTTATTATTTTATCCCTCATTTAAAATTTAACAAATCAAAGTTCTCAATTAATGCAACTTGTTATAAACCGTATTCTTCATTAAGTTGTTTTTAAAAAATTCAGATATGTTTCCCCAATAATGGTAAGAATAATAGAGATTTAAGACGCACTCAGATGTAATATTTATCACCAAATCCTTAAACTTTATTTCTTGGCATAACACAACTATTTACAAGCTGTAAACTGAAAGTTTCAAGAGATGGAAATTAATTGTGTATTTACATAATAAATACTTACTTTTTACCCCCTTTAACATAACACCTATTCTTTAAGAACTGCATGCCCCATCAGTGGCTGAGCAGTTAAGTTTGCTAATTAAAGGTAATTAAGACACAATAACACGCCGAATAAATACTGATTCAGAAGTCAAACAACAAAAATCAGCGTTTAATTCACAAAATTTTCACAGTGAAAATTTTGTGAATTAACGCTGATTTTTGTTGTTTGACTTCTGAATCAGTAATTAAAGGTAGTTTGACATGGGTTTGAATCCAAGTGAACAGACTGGCTGCATAGTTGGCTTTCGTAGTTTTCCTCGCGTATAACATGAATATGAGCCATTTTCTCTAAAAACATCCTCCACAAAGGCATATCTCCTCCACTTAGGCAGATAGCCCTGGTGTGCTAGTAATATAACCAAACCTTTAAGAACTGCAAATCTGGTGCTGTACAATCAAAATACAGAGGATTTTAACATATTTTTAGAATTATTTAGATTAAAAATAAAATCTTTCAAAACATTGCATTTAAATAAGCTGTAGGTTAAAAGGTATGTTTCTCCCCTTTCCAAAAAGAAATATTCAGCAATTCAAAAATATTGTGAAAGATATGCTGTTAAAATTTCTGACAGCAAAACAAGCAACATTATTAACACTAGCACTAGAACAGCCGAATTTCAGACTAACCGAAAACCGCCATTGGGGGTCAATTTGACCCTCTAAGAAATGTAAGTAGAAACACAGTAAATAATTGAAATGATGCTGAAATGACCACATAAAACACATAAAAGAGTTTTTAGAGGTTTTTATTTATTTTTTATACTTTAGAATTTTTTTTTCGTGCAATTAGCGCAAATTAGCACATATCTTTTTTCAATGTAAGATTACAAAAACAAAAACAAAATCTTTGAAAAATAAACAAAAGATACAAATGCAAAAAGAGAAAAATAGAACATATGCAAAAAATTACAAAAAACATAAATTGGGAATAAACACGCAATGTTTTCCAAAGTTTGTTATACATTACCGCAGGTGATACAATATGAACGCTTGACAGTGACAGCAACACATTTACCACAAATTGGTTTCTGGCATCCCTCACACCTGACAACAGTCTTGTTTTGTCCCTTGCAACTTTAAAATGCACATTTCTTTCCTTTAAGTGTCTGTATTTGAGCAATTGCGGGGCATTTGTTGCGTAGTGCACCAACTCGTAGTTCTTCCATGAGTGCAAGAATAAATTCTCGACGGGAAATAGAGGTGCCCAAGGATTCTTTGAATATAATACAAGCATTGAGTTCAGCAAAGTCAAGGACGTTGTAAAAAACATGTACAGGCCACCTGCGACTTCCACTACTTGTACTCTATTTCCTCAGCATCTGATCTGCGACATCAATGCCACATTTTGTACTGTTGTAGTAAGTGACAGTGTTCGGTTTTTCTTTATGCTGTGTCGTCAACAAACACATTACTGTGCATCGTGCTCAGAATCACGACATTCTTTCTGCTCTTGCACCTATTATATTGTGAGTGTTTTGTCTCCATTTTTCAGTGCAAAAGATGAATATCGTGCCAAAGAAGTATCACGAGCAATAGGGGGTAATTCTCATTCTCGCTTATTCAGAAGCATCGTCCCGACAATTGTGGTTTATTTTCGCAGAAAGTTCATCTGCAAGTTTCACAGAAGTAAAAAAAAAATTGTCAGTTGTGACATTGAGTCCGGAGTTTAGATGTGGTTGCAGTAATTTGAGAACTACACTTTCCCCAAGTTGTAAATTAGTTGGTCGTTCTTCATCCTTGCCCAGATAAGGATAACCATTCAAAACATATTTGGATTTTACATCAGTTGCTAGCCAGAATTTGATGCCAAACTTGTCCGGTTTATTCGCCATATACTGAATAAATCTACATCTTGATTTACAAGGCAACAATTGTTCATCAACGGTTCTTTCTGGTCCAGGATTATAGCATAAATAACAGTTTTCCATTAGCTTGTACCAGGTTACAGAAGCGAGAGCAAATTTGTTAGTGGCGAGACGATCAGCTTTGGACATCGAATCTGAGATACCGCATTATTTCACGGAACTGATTGCGTGACATTGTTTCTTTGAACACAGGTGGTCCTCAATTCTTGTTCCACAAATCATCTGCACAAAGTTTTGAATGGCCTAGTGCTCCTAGTGTCGTTTTTCTTATGAGGGTCAAAATGACCCCAGTTGGCTGTTTTAGGTATATCTGCCATTATTTGTTTAAATAATTAACGTAGAAATATGAAAAATTGATATAGTATACTTGGAAACATTTTAGAAAAAGTAAAAAAAATCAGCTTCGAAGCTCAGCTGTATGTTAAAAAAAAAAATGCGTAAAATTGGAAAAAAAGGTCAAAATGACCCCAACGGCGCTGCTAGTGTTAATATCAGTAAAGGAAAAATTGTCAGTGGTTACTTTTACATGGAAAAGAACACTTTAATCAATTACCCAAAAAAGGACATATATTCTCTAATGATTCTCAAGTGGAGTCTCCGATAAAAATAATAAGACTCATAAACACAGAAATCAGTTGCAGTCTTTAAATTTATCCGTGGAAACAATAAATAAAATAATAAAGATTTACAACTTAGAAAGGCTAAAAAACAAAAGATTCACTATTAAAGCAGAAAATACAATTTACGATGGCCTTTACAATATTTTTTATGTTCAGCCACACACAAGGAATAAAATTTAACAGGAAATAAATGAAAATGCATTGTGATTCTGGATGAAGCAAGAGTTTACCTAAATAACTGGAACAAGAAATTATGTAAATTACTATTTATTACAGGGGTACAGTTGTTTTAATCAGTGGAAAGCATGATGATACGAAGTTCTGCTAATGTTTATGTGTTAACATATCGGCAAATTTTAACTTTTTATAAGAATTTTTTTAAGGAATGATAAAATATAGCTGTGCCTCAGTATATTTTATGCATTCCGAACATACCAAATATTTTAATTTTTTTTAACTTTCACAGCATATATAGTTTTCCTGAATTGACTTTTAAGAAAAATTCCAATATGTTTTTTAAAAAAATCCAAATACAAGTAAAACTATATAATTTAAGATTCAACTTTAATGGGAATTTTATAAAGTTAATCATACAGGCAGAAATTCTGCCTTTCTTGCAATGAAATATGGAATGAGAAGGAACTGTTTCAACAAAAGTGACTGAGAACTGAGGTAGAAAAGTGTTATAAGAAATCAACTAATATCTTTATAATAACTCCAATTATTTTTACTCTAACACATTATATAGTATTTAACACATTAAAAACATCTCTTTTTAAATACAATCCCAAAGTTGTCATGTAAAATAAAAATGTCAAACTAATAACTCTGAAAAAGTACAGATAAAGCAATATTCTGTAAATGTCATTCGAAAAATTCAACCACTTCCCCAAGTTCACGTTTTTTTGCCTCTTGGTGAGCCCAACGATCCTCTGCCAATTTAGGAGTAATTTTCCATTTGTCATGATAAATTCTTTGCTTGCAGCTTGGACATTTTTTACCACCTGTGAGAAAAATACAAAATACTAATATATTACATAAAAATATAATAAACAGAAATTTAAAGCAAAATGCCAAACTATTTTCAAAATCTGTATTAATTTACACTATTTACTTAAAAATAAGACCCTCATTACATTTTAAAATAAATTTTAACAAATAAAAATGTAAGTCAATAATTGACATGAGAGCATGGTTCTAATTAGAATCAGAGGTAAACTACTTAATTATATACAATATTTTACTAAGGTTACAGAAAGAAAAATTAATGATACATTAGTAGCTACTTGTTTCATATCATAAACCAGTAACCTGTAAAGTAGATACAGGCCTGAAAAGAAAATGCTCAGTGAGATGCAGCTATTATCATTTGCTGTAGTTATGCAGTTTATGTACTGTAAAGGCCCTTATTTTCGTGGGCCGTAAGTTTCGCGAAAATGAATATATTGGTGATTTTGAGAATTTTATATGAACAGAACCGAAAGTTGAAAAATTCCAAAAGTCTTTTGCATAAAAAATTTTAAGAAACTTCCTTTTGTCCAAAAAGTTTGTCCCCTCTCCCATCCTCTTAAAACAACCCACGGTACTTATCAACTTTGACCTTGGCTCAACAGGCGCATTCCCCTTCCCCTTTTGCACCGAAAGTGTAATCACCCCACCCCTTCGCTTTTCTTGGAATCGGATCGTCCATGCCCAACACCTGCTTGAACAAGTTGTTTCTAGCAGGAGCTCCGCGACGGAGGAATACGTCGCCAAGTTGGCTTTTGCCAAATTTTCTGAAGAGGCGAGAGATAGAAAATCGAAAAGAGAACGTATTATTAGTGCCGTAAAAAAATGTATGTGTGTGTGTGGGGGGGGGGAGTGCAGAATCGCAAACTGCTTGGCACGTTTTTAAGAATTGCACATACTCGGTATGTATGTACACATCGACCAATTTTTACTTCATCAGAAAACATCCCAGAATTGCACAAAGATGTCATTGCGCACTCACTTGACTTTATCCATGCACACATTGATCTATTTTCACTTAAAAAGTCAAAGAAAATTGACAAAAATCCAATTCTTCTTACTCTTGTAAAAAGCGACAATCAAATAAGGGGGCAATTCTGCACTTTAGCCAAATGTGAAAATACTTGTACAAGTTGATGGACAAGGAAGAGAAAATTCCTATAGGAGCTCCAGCGCAGGCATGGCTTCCGGATGCAAGAAACGCTACATCATTTGTTGAATCAAAAGAAATAATATCTGCTAATACTGATGTTTCTACTGCTTTGAAAGCAAAACGTGGGCAGTATGCAGTATATGAAGTGCTCAGGTCAAAAATGGGCCGATATGCTACTATGAACGGAATTTCTGCAGCAGTGAAACATTTCACCTCTGAACTGGGAAGGCCGATGAGTGAATAAACCATTCGCAGCATAAAGAAACAGTACATTCAAGCATCTAAACAAGCTAAAGCTGATGTAACAACTTTACCGCGCTATAATCGTGGTCACCCCTTAAAACTTTGTGATTTCGATGCAAGCATTCAAACATATATACGTAAATTGGGAATTGCTGGTGGAATGGTGAACCGCACTATTGTTATTGCAGCTGCAAAAGGAATTGTGAAATCACATGATCCATCTCTACTAAATGCTTTTGATTTGAAAACCCATGATGGGCCAGAAGCCTGCTGGAAAGAATGAACTTTGTCCATAGAAAGGGAACCAAGGCTGCACGAAAACTGCCCCCAGACTTCCCAGCTATTCGTGACGAATTCATTAAGCATGTTCGTACAGTGATCGACAAAAATGTTGTTCCCCTTGAGATGTTCACTAACTTTGATCAGACAAACGAAAAGTTTGCGCCTACATCTAATTAAACATTGGAAAAACGTATTTCAAAACGAGTGTTTGTAATCGGCATGGAAGATAAAAGAGAGATGACTGTTTTCTTAGCATGTTCCCTTGTTGGAAACCTACTTCCACCACAATTGTTGTTCGCTGGAAAAACAACAAATTGTCATCCAAAGTATACATTTCCCGTGGACTGGGACGTGTGGCAAATCGATTCACACTGGAGTAATACTGGCACAATGATTCGATACATCGAGAATATTCCTGTAACTTATTACGACAAGCAGAGAGAGCTTCTCACGCTAGTTCCAGAATAACCTGGTGTAGCATTGTTCAACAATTTTAAGGCACACTAAGATCCTCTTTTCTGACTGAACTACAGAAAAGGAATATTATTCCAGTTTTTGTGCCCACTTCCTGCACAAGAGGGCTCCAACCTTTGGACTTAACTGTAAATGGCGAATTCAAGCATTTGTTCAAGAATGAGTTTATTGAGTGGTATTCTAATGAGTTTCAATTTCTAGAGGAAAAAGAATCTATGGACTTGCAAATATCACGACTAAAACCGATTCACGCTTCTTGGCTTGTGCGCGTATTTAACGGTATTGAAGCCAAACATGAGATAATTTTGAATGGCTTCAAAGAAACTGGTATAAATATTATTCTAAGTTAATGAGCTACCTTATATTAATTTTATTGTTTTATATTTGAGAAATATAGTTGTATATTATTCAAAAAATAGTTACAAGAAAGAAAGTTGTCAAGAAAAAGCTTGTAACTGTGCAATAAATCATTAAATTTTGGGTATCTGAAAAATTTCTGATTTTTTATTATTATTTGAGGCGGGAAAAAAAATATTTCACGAGGCTTAAACTTTCGCGATTACGACGGGCTCGCGAAAGTTAAAGACTCACAAAAATAAGGGCCTTTACAGTATATGGTAATCGTCTGTATGGTTTGATTAGTATTTAAACTGTGTAAATATTCTATATAGAAAGATACTTAAAATCTTTCTTCAGATTCTGCAGTTTTAAGGAGAAAAGCAGCTGAATTTAGTGTTGCACTGTATACAAAACAATGAAACTGTATTAAGCTTTTGTTCTGACTCTCCTCTAGAAGAGATATGGGCGTTTTCATGGTTTTCCCCATGTGTAATGTGTATACGAGCCAGTTCCCTTAGAAAGTCCTCCACGAAGGCATCCCTCCCCTTAGGCAGATAGCCCTCAAGGCTTTGCCACAATCACACACACACACACTCCTCTAGAGGAGAGCTTTCAAGTTATTATCTATAACCAGGGCCAGATTAAATGTGATAGCATGTGATAAAAGAGGCAAAAATGAAGATACAGGAAGTAAGGCCAACAGAAGTTTAGTAGAATTCTCAGAAATTCCAGTTTTAGGAAACAAAGTTATATTGCAGCCACATGTCAAATCTTCTCGCATGCGGAGAGAGCGAGTTGGCAGAAGTAAAAATTACTACTTCGTCTGGACATTGGCACAAATAAGGGTATGCAAGGAATATGATCACAGAGGGAGCCTTGAATGTTTATATTTAAAAGAAGACATATCTATGTTATAGAATCTGTTTTCTGTTAAGGGCCTCCTACCTGCCTCATATATATGATACAGATAGAAGGCCCTTGCAAGCAGATAAAACAACTGAATTCAGAGTTGCAACGAATATAAAACAAAAAAGCTGTATGCTTTTGTTTTGATTCTTCTCTAGAAGATAGCTTTCATGCCATTAGCTATAATTGGGCCAGACAGTTGCTCAGGTTTATTGCGAGAACAAGTTCTCAATTTCTCAAGGTGCTTGCGTGACAAAGGCGGCAAAAATGAAGATACGGGAAGTCAGGCCCTCTGAAGTTCAGAAATCCCAGAAATTCCAATTTTAGGAAAGATTTTAAATTGAAGCCACATGTCAACTCATATGATAAAATTTGACATGTAGATTTTACACTAGTTCTTGTTTTAAAGGTCCTGGGCACTGTAGATTTTACACCAGTTCTTGTTTTAAAGCTTGGTCATACAATTAATTTGCAACATGTAGCTCTTGATAATGGTTCATTCCAGAAGAAAATTTTTAAAAAGATTAAAATCTCTCTTCTTCCTTTCTTTATATTCATGTTTCCTACTCTTACAATTTTTCACATTCTTTTCCCTCCCAGCCGTCAGACTTAAACAGTTTATAACTCTCCTGATGCACATTAATTTCAATACTAGTTTTTGTGCAATAATTTTGGGGGAAAATCTAAGCATCTTTGCTTATTATCTTTTAAACTCATAACGAAATCTCACTGAAAATGATTCATAAGCTATTGATGTATAAATATGTTTGAACTTCTTAAATTGCCAAGAAGAAAAGGTATGTTATAATGAATGACAATTATTGTGAAAATTGACCTAAGATGGACTCTCATCAGTTGTAGGCCTTTCATGCTGGCCATTGAAATAGAATGGCCATTATGACAAGCTTCAATTACGCAAACATTTCTAGCATGTTTTTCTTAAAATCTTTAGATAGTCACTTTCCAAATCAGAGAAAATATAAAGGGGACAAACAACAATCAATCATTTTACATAAACAATGAATGTTTTCCCGAAAAATAAAGAGACCCGTTTTATGTATGCGTGTGTGTAATTTTAGAGAGAAACCAGGTTTCGCTGCACTTTTCTTCATAAACGACAGAAACAAAATTAAATTACAACGAGTTAAAAAAGCTAAGGGACATTTATAATAAACAGAATACTAAATACAATTTCACTTAGATTCTAAAAAGTATTCGATAGGTAATTTTGTATGTCAATATATAGAAATTTTCATTTAAACAATTAAAATATTATCAATAATATATTAATAAAAAATTTACCCCCCATGACATCCATAAAAAAATTTATTAGTGTTTTTCAGGAGATTGTGTAAATGATTTACACAACCCTCCCCAATATGCGGAAGCCATTTTCATAATATTATGCAAGGTATTTTATTGGATGTATACGCACAGAATTGATTTTTCGAGCATTCTCAGTTATATAATGAACAAATTAAAATGTGTTATCTTTCAAAGTTTTGTGAGAAAAATCTTTAGTGAATTTGAAAGAGATATGCAGTCTGCTTTCAGTGTCAACAATTTTTACAAGAGAAATTTGGGCAAATTTTTTAAACAATGAGCTTTATTTATTTTGCATACAATGAAAATAAATATTCACTCAAGAATGGAACTCAGTATGCAACTAGTAATTTTCAGAAACCTTACTTTCTTTTGATGCATTTTTGTACATGATAATAATGAAAAATAAAAATGATAACAAATGTATTTCTAAACATTTTATTAAAATTACAATAATACAAAAATCAGAGGAAACAATTTATATTTTAAATTATTTTTCTCTCATTTTTTCAAAGGATGGGAATTATGTAAATCAAACTAAACTCATACACATTTTAATATCCACAGCATATTAGTGAAGAAAATAAACAAAATAGGGAAATATGCATTTAAGTATGATAATAAAGTAATTTGAAAAATGTGTTAAGTTTCACATACCATGAAATGGGGGAGTTTTTATATATGTATCCAAACAAATATTATGAAAAATGTGACCACAGTATACTCTTTCGATGTGCTTTTCAGCAGTTTCGTCAGCAACGACATTCTAAAGAAAAAGAAATATATATATAATATAATTTATATATATTAATATAATTTATATATATTTTTGATGGTTCAGGATATGGAGGTATAATTACAGAGCTTGGGGAACAAGATGGCAGCAGTTGCTACAGATGACTACTTAATTTTTTTTTTATTATTTTATTTATTTATTTTTACTGTCGAAGCAATATTTTTCATGAAAATAAATTCTACAAGCCCATTCTTTATCAATTAATTGCCTTCCTGACTATGCCTTTATTACATCTTTATCACAATGTATTTGATGATAGAAAGATAAATAGCAACACGTACTACAGCAGCAATCAAGACAAGAATGTACAGATTCCATATATGACGATTACACTAATATGGTTTTGGACGGATTTTATTCTTATTGGCTAACTTAGGTTTCTGTTTGCAAAGTTTAATATTATTAGTGATTGAATTTTCAATCCATATTTTAATCTTATTAATGGCTAAAAACTGAAGATAGCTAGTGAATGTTTGCCCATGATGTGAAACTGTAACTAATAATCAAAATAAACATTCCAAATTAAAATAATGCTGCAATATTTTACTAGTACCTACAGTCCGTGCGATATAAATTAAGTAAAAGATACACTTGAAAGGTATCCAGCAATTCACAAAGAATTTTTTTTTTAAATGCAAGTTTTATAACAAAAGAAGCTTCAGATTGTCACCAGAGAGCATCATTTTATACAACATTGTAGCCAGTTGATTCTGATTAAAAGGCAAAGCATGTGAGGAATATTTTACAGGGAAAACAATGCCTTCATAGAGACCCTTCTAACCAAATGATAGTCATTCATTTTATACACATAGAAGGCCATGACAACCCCTACACATGCTGGGATTCAAAAGCAGCATCAAACTACCAGTATTCAGTGGTCATATCCACCTGGATACTGGTGTATCATACATCTTATAGTAATATGGCAGTCTGAAAAAGAATAACTTTCATCATGAAAAGAATGTACAAGTAATAGCATTAATTTCTTCATAATATAGTACATACAAAATGGAATTAAATTTCACAAGATGATTCAAAATCATATGTTTTTATAAATGAACTAAGATATACAATAAATGTAAGAGTGCCAGCAATTTCTTTTTAATATAAAAGACACAACTACGAATTAAATTTCATAATACAATCCGAAATCATAATTTTGTGTGTGCGTGTGTGAATGTAAGTGACTGTGAGTATGCATGCGTGTGTGTGTGTGTGTATCTATGAAAACCAATTAACTCATAAAATAAAAAAAACTAATGATATAATATCAATCAGGATTAATGAAAAGTTAGAAAATTAGAAATTAAGAAAAGTCCCTTATCTTTATTTACTATAGACAAGCCCCAATTCTTATCAGTTTGATTGTATATATATGCAAGATAAAAATATGTAAATCAAAATTATAATTTAAAAAGCCTCTTATCTGCTCAGTTTTAACATGGGTACATCCTCTCTACTAATAACTTTCTCAAAACTGCTTCATATCTCATAACTATTTCTGCATTATGTCATCTTAAACTTCGGCATTGCCTATACATTTTAGTCAATCAGATTAATAAAACATTTTAACTATAAATACCGTTGCAATCCAGCTAGCCTTTGATTGCTATCCAAAGGATATCTTTTGCTTGCCTGCTTCTGCTAAAAATGTAACACGTCATTATAAAAATTGCAGGGGGAGATTGGCCCCATAGTGATGTGCCATGCCATAAGGCAATCAACAAGTAACAAGGAGATATTTGGATTATCAAGTGATTTTGTGATTCTTCAAAAGTTCTCTGGATCTTCTACTATGTAACTGATATTTAAAAGTGATCTTCAAACCTGAACTCACTTGCTACTGCAAAGTAATGTCTTCCCTAGTCAAGCACTCATCTTATATCAAATTACTGGAAGAAACTAAAAAAACATATATACAGTCAAAAGTCATTCATTCGGATTCGTCGAGACTTCAGCGATTCAGGATTATAGATCATCAGTTTAAATCTCGCAAGATGGCATGCAGAAATTTTAAAATTAAAAATATGAAACCGTAATTTATGCAATAAAGAGCAATTATGTTCTAAAGGGTATCAAAATTTACAAAAAAAAAAAAAAAAAAAAAAAAAAAAGCAGCTTAATATTTATTTGCTTACTTTATTAAACATTTCTTTCAACGCACGCAAGCGTAAAGCAGACATTACGCGTAGTCTAAATTAGAAAATTGCAATCAGAAAACTATTTGATGTGCATTTGTGATATTTATAATGACGAGGAATTTGATTTAAATCATATCAAAGATGGAGTACATCAAGATGAAATACTACATTTAGTAAGGAATTATAAGCCAAATAAACTAAAAACATCTGCTCTGAAGATAAGGATAGTGCTGACAGATGAACTTCCAGTTCATTGCGCATTCATTATCTATTTCAGTTAATGTTGCAGATTGCGTTGTTCCTTAATCTTCAAATTGGATCCAGCTTATTATTTTTTGCAGACTGTTAGAGCAATTTTGTAAAAGTAAGCTTGAACTTTTGATTATGTCAAAAAGAATTTCCAATTCTGGAGCTAACAAAGGATCTACAAAGTGAAAGCATGTTCCGATGTCCATCAAACAAACAGTGGAATTGCTGCAAAAAATGGATAAAGGCATATCCTTTCATTCTCTAATCATTCCGAAATATGTTTATCAATTTCACGCTGCTCTGCGCGAAGGGGGGGGGGCTTCGCGGCGCGCAATGAACTGGAAGTTGATCTGTCAGCAATATCCTTATCTTCAGGGCAGATGTTTTTATGCTTATAATTCCTTACTAAATGTAGTATTTCATCTCGATGTACTCCGTCTTTGATATGATTTAAATCAACTTCCTCGTCATTATAAATATCATGAATACACATCAAATAGTTTTCTGATTGCAATTTTCTAATTTCGACTATGCGTAATGTATGCTTTACGCATGCGCGCGTTGAAAGAAATGTTTAATAAAGTAAGCAAATATATATAAAGCTTTTTTTTCTGTAAATTTTGATACCCTTTAGATCATAATTGCTCTTTATTTCATAAATTACGGTTTCATATTTTTAATTTTATAATTTCTGCATGCCATCTTACCAGATTTAAACTGGTGATCTATAATCCGGAAAAACCGATAATCCGGAAACGCCGAAGTCCCGACGAGTCCGGATTAAAGAATTTTGACTGTATACATAAATACATGTATAACAAAGGAGATATACATTCAGTGCAATCTATGCTTACACTGATTGATTAACTGACCATGGAAAAACATGAAAGCTCCATGCTTAAGATTTCAAATAACTTTTACATTAGTTGAATGAGGTAAAATATGATATACATGGCTCAAGTTGGCAAAAACATAGGTATGACAAATGACAACCACAGTCATTGTGTAAGCTAAAAACATCATGGCAAAATCATTTTATGTACAAAAATATAGTAGAGAAAACAATACAACAGAGAAACATCATGGTGTAATATGATTCCTGATTTAACAAACTGTTCTATGAAAAAGCATGCACCTTTTCTGAACATTTAAGTACTTACTAATGGATCTGCAGGGAAACATACTTCTTTGCATAGTTGGCATAGTTCAGATGGATACCTTTTTATCTCATCAATCAAAAATTTCAATGTAGGCCAAAGTGAAGGCTTAGGTTCAAATGGTGGATCTCTGTTTCAAAAAAAAAAAAAAAAAAAAAAAAAAAAAAAAAAAAATGCATTACATGAAAGTAGATGCAATTATATCATGCACATACTTTAACATATTGAAAATAATTAAAATTTCAAATAAAATATTTTTGTTTGCAAACATATAGAAGAAAACTGATAATGAATGCACTGATTAACATACTACATGAAAGTATTTTAAAATTATTTACAGAGAAAAATATAAAAATGTATAGCTAAATAAATTAATTCAAACGTTTTTCCAAAAGAAATGCAAATATCAAAGAGCAATACACTTTTCATTTTGACCAATGAAATGTATAACTTTTAATTTATATTACCAATTTTACAGATACAGTGGAAATCTGAAATCAACTTTCAAAAATTCTAAAAATTACTGCAAAGTAAAAATGCAGGATAATTTTGAATAATTCGTAATATTGATATGATACACATAAATGCATACACATATATTTTCATCAGCAAAGCAAAAAGTATAATATTGAACATTTTATGTTTCACTGCATGTTTTTTGCAAACATGTACTGAAGCATAACACGAACATGTACTCTTCTTTTTGATTTCGCAACATTTTTTCTTAACAGTTGCTGATGATGAGGGCTAGTAGGAGGAGGATAGTTCATGGAATATGAAGAATTTTTGTTAAATGTCCAGTGTTCAATAAATTATTTTTGAAGTCTTTACCAACAGTGTCCTGAGAGGAATTTTCTGATTAAAGAAAAGTCATTTTTTTTTAATATGAATAAACAATATTTCATAGTCTTCATAGCATCTAGACTATCAATGTTTAGCCTAAATAATTCTATACAAAGGTACGTAATATGTTTTTTCCTCTTCTTGAAGAAGTGACTATCTGTCTGATAGTTTTTGACTCCTTGGTTTAACAGAATTCTTTCCCATCTGAAATGACATTTGGTTAATTATCTTCTGATTTCATCAAAGCAATAAAAGTAGTTGTTTTATGCAGCAGTTAGTATGTTAAATACAACTCTACAAGGGTAGTTTTAGGGCTATTTCAACTCCTTTTCTAGAATAACTTTTCAAATTCTTAATAATTTTTGCATTTTCTGCTTCAATAGAAATTAATCAACAATATTCACCTTCAAAATTAATGTATCCTGACAGTTATGTAAATTAATGTTCTGTGACACTTTTAGCAATATCATCTCACATGTATCCATATGATGATATGGTTATGGGGTACAATTTCAGATATGCAAGAATAAAAAATCCATAATTCCAGTCATACAAGGTGTACAACCATCCCTGTGAATGTAATTCAATTAATGTCCAATAAAAATAATTTTCCAAAAATATGTTCAAAAGCAATTTATTTTATAAAACAACATTAAAATAAACTTTAAACATTGCTCCTGAACAAAAGGAACTTCACACTGACTTAAATTCACATCATAATGCATGATTTCAGGTTGCTGAATTATTTATGACATGATTCACATTATGAAATATATTAACATTTAATTAGATATTCTAAATTTTATGTTCTTTGGCAATACACTTATATACTGAGGAAATCTTGAGTATGGAAGAAAAGCTTTAATTTATCAGAGTACTTTTAAAATGTTGAAATTAAAATTAACAATTAATGTACATAATATTTATGTAGATTACAACATACCATATATTGAAGTAAAATTATATTGCTTGAATCTTCATATAAAATTCAACACATGTCTACAGTGGATTGACACAGTTTAGATCCAATGAAATTTTAATATGAAAAATTCAAAAAAAATAAAATTTAAGAAGAAAAATAATAGAATTCAAAAGAAATAAAATTTAATAGGAAAAATTATTCTGAAATTCGTCAGGGGTGGAAAGGTGCAATTTGTATAATATAAGTGTCATTAATTCAATAAGTTACATGTGGGAAACACTTTCCTTAGTTAAAAGTAAGAAAAAAAAAAAAAAAAAAAAAAAAAAAAAAAAAGACAGAAAACTTGATGCCTTATTGGGAGATGTGTTGAAAAACTAGGAGTCTCCCTTTAAAATCGGAAGAGTTGGCAGCTATGTATAAAGAATTTTAAAAAAGATTAAAAAAATCCCGTAACTTTTATTTTCTTATTCTGCTATCTGAAATTATTGTTTTACAACCTTCAGATTTTTATGATCATTTCTAATAAAATCATTTTTACACAAAAGAAAAGTGATAAGATGTGTAATTTAAGACACATTTCAAGTACTTTATTACCCCATTAGTTTCTTTACACCATGTAGAACATTTGATACCAAAGATAACTTCAAAGTGAGATATAAATTTAAATCTGGAGTTAGCATGATTTTTTATATCAGTACATCAAGCATACCTATAAATAGATAACTCACACTGTGCTTGAAGCTTAATTTTTTAGTACTACTATATATACTCACTTCAAATCTGGAGGATTATCCTTAATAAGGTATTTGAGCTTTGTTAATTTGTTCTATAAGTCACTTCTTTAAATAATTTAACTGCATAAGTATTTGTGTAAGGATCTTAAGTTTTACTAACGTTTATTTTATTTTAAATCTTTACTATCACTTCTTATTTTCGACTTCCGGCCAGAATTATAAGCGTGAAGGATTTTATGCAAAGTTCGTCTGGCGAGCGCCAAGTATTTAAGTGTGGCCTTTTTGCCAAGCGAAAGAGAGAGAAAGCAGTGAGTTCGAGCAGGCCGCTTACCTTAGAAGTTACGCAGTTGCTATTTGCCTTCCAGGCCAGAGGTATTAAATCCTCTTGATAAATTAAACGTATTGTAGTGTTCACAGTCTCTGTGCTACATACGCTTCCTGTTATTATAAGGCCAATCTTCCACGTGTATTATTCTAAAGTTAAATTAGAGTTTAGTTTTATTTTTATATCTTTTACGTTAGACCCCCGAGTGGAGGGTCATTGTATTCCGAAGTACGGAAGTCATTGTATATAAAGAAAAATAAAGGGTTTTGTATACCCTTCGTCTGTATCCTGTCTACTTACTACAATTAGTGAACATAGCTTTAGTAAGCTCTCTGTTCCTAGTCAGGTCCTTGTATGTTTCCGAAGTAGGTTAGAAGAAACATTGAACCTGATATTTGGAATTACAAATTTAATGTAAAAAATCATCTCATCAGAAAATTTTGGTAAGAATAATTAGTTGTTTCCTCTTAAATGCATATTTTAAGCCTATTTCAATATACACATAAATGATGATAAAGTTACCACACTTATTATAAAGGAATTTTGAAATGTCTCATTTTTAATAATGCATTAAACCTAAATGAAATTTAAAAGTAACAGGAGAAATAAAAACTAACTTTGGTTTTGGTTTCAATGGTTTCTGGACACACTGGCGAGCTATTTCTGTAGACTGACCAACAAACCAGCGTCGAAAGTTTGGGGGAAAATTACAATCAATAATTTGAATTCTGCAATAAAAACCCAGATAAAAGCATGATTATTTTAAGTAAAAATTACAAGATTAAAACAAAGACTATTGTTTTTAAAAAATATGGTTTAATAAGCATAAAATTTCTAATGAAACTTGCATACTATATAGGCCACCGTGAAAGAGAATTGCCATGCAAAAAATGTAGAGTGGGAAAAAAAAAAAACTTACCAATAAAATGCACAGAAATAATAAAAGAATTATAGAAAGAATTTGCATTTATTCTCTTTGCACTTAAATTTATTTCTTGTGCATAGTTTCTTGCATCTTTCTTCCATCTGCAGCTTTTAAGCTGAATTTCAAATGCTTTTACCATTAATAATATACAGGTGCCATTAATATATATTTTGCATAATATGATGAAGATGTGTTCTTTTTGAAAGAATATTATAACATTTTTCTCACTTCTAAGTAAATCAAAAATTTATAACACACTTTGCATCTGAAAGAATGATGAATTTGAGCTTTGTGCTTGCTTACGGATTTTTGCATAAAGGTATTAACTTCTTTACTCCCTGTATATCATACATAATACACTTCAACTTCTTGATAGTTTCATTTGATACAAGAGGCCTTTACGGGCCCATTGCATCAAATGTATTACAGACAGAAAGTATAAAGCAACTTTAAAATTAGGCAAAAAAGCAAGCTTGGTCTGACATAGATTTTGAATAAAACTTATAGATCTCCACAGCAATTAGAAGCATGTCCCTCTTATTCAGTAGCAAGGATTCAAAAAATGTTTTTGTTCCTGAAAAATAAGGATCTGCGTCTGATCATCCTTAAAATTGATAATTTTATTCAAAATCTGCAACAAAATAAGGTTGCTTTCTAATTTAATTTTAAATCTGTAAAAGATGTCAGAATGCTTAATTACTTCAATCAAATCACTCGATTTAATTGAATGAGTATTGTTTACTATTTTATTCTATGAATATAAATGCACTGGATAAGACACATAGCTTACAACTGTCATTTAAATGTTTTACATAATAAAAAAAGTTAAAATTTTATATATATATAAGTGTGGAAATAGAACATAATAGCAATCATATTTGAAACCTTAAACTTTTTACTTCATTACTGCATGGAGTTATTTAAATGTATGATTATCATAATTCTTATTAATGTTGTCCTTTATGTTACTTTAAATGCCGCCCAGACGGTATAGTGGTTAGAATAGCTGACTGCAATACGAAACAGCCTGTGTTAGAATCCTGCAGAAGACATGGATATAAATTTTCTGTTCTCTCACTGGAGGTAACAGTGGCCACGTATTAGATGTCTCCACAATAAAATGGCCACCACTTTTGGCCTTAGGAGTTGCCAATGCTGAAAAAGGGCAAGTGCACACTATTCAATTAAAAAAAGGTTTAAATTTTTCTTTAAATTGTAAATATTACAATTTTTTGCTTACATTACAAAAAATAACATTAAAACAGCATATGCAAGCATCTAAATATTTTGATATAAAGCAAATTTTATAGGAATTATTTCTGCATGTTAAGCTAATTACAAAATGCTCATGGACACACAGTAATGTTTAGCACTTTAAGGTTGCAAACCTAATGGAGGGCTTCATTCTCACTATGTCAGGAATGAATAATGTCAAGTAGGACTGCTTTTTAGCCAGCGAACAATGAAAGTGTGGCAGAAGTGGCAATTTTTTTCCACAATGACCATTGTAACACAGAAGTGACCTATTTTATTTTTCATTAAAATAAACAAAAAAAAAAAAAAAAAAAAAAAGAGGGGGTTATAAATAGCAAGTATACTTGTTGTAAAATACTAACTGTATTTGCTCTTCAGGGTAAGAATCAGGAACAACGGCTCTGACTTTTAAAAAGTATGATTCCTTAGTTATATGTAAAACCACTGAAGATGTCTTTTGCTTCAATTTTATCTGGTCAGGCTCATCAAGTAAACGTTTTATGGAAGACAGTTCTTCACTACAAACCGAAAGTGGATTTTCATCTAGAAACAGCTTCAGAAACTTCAACACTTTAAGGACCTATAACATAGTTTTAAAAAGTAGATAAAATATATATTGTAAAATGTTGATTGTTTTAATTAACAGAGTAAAAACAAATTTCAACCAGCCAATTTATTTCTCTTAACCATCCCCCCCCCAAAAATCATACTTATTTCATGATGAAATAGATTAAACTATTTCAATGCAAAATTCACAGTAATGCAACATACATGTTTTATTTTCACCTTTTAGGGCTATTTTTACATTTTATAATTACTAGCCGTTTACATGGCCAGCTGCCTAAAAGTGCTATTATAGAAAACAGAAACAATATTTCATGATTTTAATAAATCTAGCTAAAATAATTTCAGAAAATGTCTAATATTTTAAATTAGATATATTATGAATTAAATGCATTTTTATTCATATCAATCAGATTAAATAGTAAAACAAAATATTAAGAACTTCATTTATTGCTTTTAAATTACTTAGTTTGTTCATCAGTAATGGACAGATTAAATTTGAAAGTTAAATATTCTACACTTTGTCAAATGGCAATGTACTAGAAGATATAAGTACTTTATTTAGGGCAATAGCAACATATTTCATTTAAACCATTAAGTTTCTTGATTAAATTCCAAAGAGAAATATCATATGCTTCGGTGAATGCTGAATTTATTGATTCAAGTTGAAAGATAAATAGCTTATGTTTTGTCAAGTAGCAACACACTGCTTTGAAATCTCTGAACCTTCGCAATCCTGTCAGGCACAATATCCTTCATAGTTGAATATAAAAAATATAAATAATGTTTTGTTAATTGAAGAGAGAAATTAGTTTAACCTAAAGAAAGAAAAGAATTGCAAAACAAACCTGAGGTTTGCCTAGAAATTTCTTGCATTCTTCTTCAGAAACTTTGGTCAAACCACTTAAGAACTTCTCACTCAGAGTTTTGCTTTTTAACTCCACAAGTAAAGGATAGAGAGGATAAGTTTCAGGGAATTGCAGACATGCTGTTAATTGCTTATGCTTAGTTTTCCTGTAAAAACAATTAATTTATATTTAAATGGAACATAAAACTCATTCAGCACATTGATAAGATAAAAAGTTCATCTGATACAGAAAATATCTCATATATAAGCAAACCATAATTATAAGAAAAAATTAATGTATGTGTTATGTTTTATTATTTTTGTGTTATTATTATTTTAAATTTTACAAGTATAAAAAATTTTCCAGAAATAGAGTCAGATTCTAAGTGCACAAAGTTCAAATGTTTGATATAAATTAATGTGATAGACGCATTGATGAAGTTTTTTAAATATTTGGGCATAAAACTGCTTAGCTTGATTACTAAATCACCTATAATTAAAAAATATCCAATATTTTTTTTGTTTGTTTTGTTTTGTTTGTTTGTTTTCTCATTGTAAGTTATTGGTTTGACTGAAACATGCTTCCACTATGTATAGATAAGGAAAAAGTTAATAATCTTGGTTCAGTTCCAACTTTTATTTTGGGATAGTGTTCCTATTAACTAACTGTAGACTGCAGAAAAAAGGAGACAGTTCTATATCTCCCATTTCACTAGGCTGATTGATAAAATTCAAATTGCATTTTTCATGTCTCGAAAGCACAACTTAGGATATATATTAGATTTATATATAGCATTGTCCTTATATAGCATTGTTTATATATAGCATTTATATATAGCATTGGCTCCAACGCTTTTCTTTTTTCCTAATGTTAAATCTAACTTAAAGGGAGCCCCATTTTACCTCAGTTGAAGAGGTTCAGACAAAAACAGAAAATCTCCTGAAAGGCCTCGTTTCAGAACTGTTACCAACAATGGCAGTACCAAATGCAGAAGTGTGTAAATGCTGAAGGGGCCACTATGAAGGTGATAATTTCATGAAGAACTGATTCTATACATACAACTTATTTATTGGACAAGTCTCTTTTTTTTTTCTTGTGTCACACCTCATAATTTTCAATTTTCGCAAAATTACAATTACGATTTCCATAGATTCAATACAATTTTATTATTAGATAAAGCTAATTTTTAAGATGCACAATTTGATTCACATGATCATGAGTATTATTTTGATAGCTTAGCACATCTTCAGACAATGGATGATACATAGAAGCGATCCATATACATGTTAGCAGAATGAAGCAAGCGGAAAAGTGTATTGTTATCGAATATGGAGGCTTAGCTTAACAGAAAAAAGATTTTGGTTTGGAAATTTTAAGATCAAAATTAACTACATCATCATCATGTAAAGGATGAAAAGGAGAAATATTCAAATTATTATTATTATTATTATTATTATTATTATTATTATATATATTCGGCAAATTTCTTGGCAAGAACCAAACTGCATTCAAGTCATATTCTCTTTTAGTAAATACAGATTTGAGATTTTTTTTTTTTTTAATTGAGATGAGCATAAACATAATTAAAATGAAAGCTGACTTCTGTATGATTTTCTTTATCTTAAACATTACAATCTTACCCTTAATACTTAAAAACATCCTAACCACATTTCATGAAATGCAAAATCATGATGACCAGTTTCATAAGTTGTATAATAATTTCTTTTCATTAAAAAAACTACAAATGACTACTATTAAACAATTGTTGAACTTATGATATACTCTTATTTTAAAGGAAACAAATACACTACAGAATATGTGACAAACTGTAAATATGAAAGCTATTAGCTTACCTTATATCAACTCGAACCATAGATGGAACACAAGCAACTATTTTAGTTCCAACAATCTGAGACTCACAATGATTTTTAACATCTTGAAGCTCATCATAAATAATGTTCATGGATGATAACTAAAATAGAAAAGAATTTTAGTTTGACTGAAATATCACTACACTAAAACTGCTTTTCTTTGACAACAAACTGCATTCACAAACTACTGCCATATCTTGATCAACGACATGAAACATCTTGAACTCGTATGTATATATATACAGTCAAAGGCCGTTAATCCAGACTCTTCGGGACTTCGGCGATTCTGGATTATCGATTTTTCCGGATCATAGATCATCAGTTTAAATCTGGTTAGATGGCATGCAGAAATTATAAAATTAAAAATATGAAACCGTAATTTATAAAACAAAGAACAATTATGATCTAAAGGGTATCAAAATTTACAAAAAGAAAAAAGTTAATATTTATTTGTTTACTTTATTAAACGTTTCTTTCAATGTAAGTTGTTTAAGTTGCTTTATTTTATGTGATAATACTTTCTCTTTAATTCTATAAACAGATATAATTTCTTGTTCAGTTAAAAAGCTCCGGTGTTCAAGTCCTATAATTACTGTGTCGAGAATACCGACTAATTTGTCAATCGAAATTTTTAAATAAACGTAATAACAACTGTGTCACTTTCTTCACTATCGAAAGCAAATTATAATGACGAGGAATTTGATTTAAATCATATCAAAGACGGAATACATCGAGATGAAATACTACATTTAGTACGCAATTATAAGCCAAATAAAATAAAAACATCTACCCTAAAGATAAGGATAGTGCTGACAGATCCGACGCAATTCATACCGATTCACTGCATAATTCACCAAGAGCATCTCATTACAAAATATTTAAAATATCCTGATGTTATGAAAACAGTGTTACACATTGTAAATTACATTCGTACCAATGCCAAAAATTTCTTTGAAGAATTAAAGGATGAAGAACTTCCAGATGACAATAATTTCTTTTCCATTGTTAGATGGTTATCTAGCTACAATGTATTAAATGAATTTGTAGATTTGTTTGATCCAATAACTGCATTTCTAAAAGAAAAGGAAATAACTTATTCAGAATTAGACGATGACAAGTGGTTACAAGACTTACTGTTTTTTACTGATGTCATGGAACATTTGCAAACACTGAATTTACAATTGCAGGAAAAAGATAAAATAATATCTGATCTCTCACAGTATATATTTAGTTTTCAAACTAAATTACAGCTTTTTCAAAAGGACATAAAACATTTTGTCATCTTCCTCGAACTAAAAAAAATTTGTTCCAATATTATACAAGAAAAACTCAACAAGTATATAAAAAAGCTAGAAGGAATATTGACGGAATTCCAAAATAGATTCAAGACTTGAAATATTTTAAATCGTCTCTTGATTTTTTTCTGAATCCATTTGAAATTAACATAATTCAAGGTGAATTTTCCATTTCCAGATAATTATGACCCAAAAAGCATATGGAAAATTAGAATTAATAGAGGTGCAAGAAGATCAAGATCTACAATTGAAATATAAGTTGAAGGCGATAACTGAATTTTGGAAATTTGTACCAGAATCGAACTATCCTGAATTAAAAAAGGCTGCCTGTCAAATTATTTCAATACTCAGAACAATGTACTTATGTGAATCATTTTATTCCACTTTAAAATTTGTGAAATCCAAACATCGATCATTATTAACTAACCAGTATCTTAAAGAATTACTGAGAAGTAAAATAAATGTGTTAAGTTTTTAATATTTAAATTCAATACACACATTTTGTACTTTTATTTATATGTTTTCAATAAATATAATTTCTATAAACAAATTTTAATACCTTTTTTGCATACCTTTTAAATATGTATTTAATTGCGGCTCCCGAAAAATTTAAAATTTTGAAATATGGCTCGGACTACCAAGGAGCTTTGCCACCCGAGCTATGAAATTGCATTTGAAATTTAAGTTAGCGAAATTGCTGTACTGAAAAGAATTACTAAATGCAAGCACTTGTTTTATTTCTTCATAGAGAGGCAGTAAGGTTTTGATTTATATTTAATTTCACTGGATTATCGCATTATATTTTTACTGATATTTTTTTAATTGTTTTCTTTTTTAATGGATTTATTAATATTTTTTTAATATTTATGGAATTTGCACATCAACATAAATTAATCTGTAATCCAGATTTAGTATTACTTACACAAAGTTCCCGTTATAATTTTTATTGCATCAAATGACAGAAAAATTTTCAAAATGCCTTTTACATCAGAAGTCAGTAAAGATTTCCATATTTAAATGCATAGTAGTTCCTGAAATAAAATTTGCAGATTTCAATTTTGAACTGAAATAAAAATTATACATATATATATATAAATTAACACATAATGAAAATACACCAATCATTTAGGCGATCCCTCTGATCTGATTGTTTAAAAATATCTATTAAGTTCACAAATTCAACCTTTTACCAAATTATACTTGTTTTTTTCTCAGTAAAGAATACACATGGAATGGCTTTATCTCTGTTCCTTCAATCTGATTATTAAACTCTAGAAAGAGTAAGTTACACTTAAAAAAAGAAAGAAGGTACAGAAAAATTTATTTATTCTTAAAGTAAAGATGTTTAGACTACAATGTAAACTAGTTCAATTAGCACTTTATTACAGTAAAATATACAGAAAAGTACATGGTTTAATGATCTGCACCAATATTTTCCAATCTTGTTACTGGCATAACAACTGCTAACTGATTATCATTACTAGTAGACAAATATTTTTCATAGATATGAAGAGCAAATTTTAAATTTTATCTTAGTAAATAATTCATTTTAATATGAGAATGATGGAAAGACATTGTTTATCCATTTTTAGATTGCATTCAAAAATTTACATTTGCCATGTATTACATGTGGCCATAAATGACAGAGATGCCTCAGTATACATCATTAATTTGTTCCAGATCCTTGGACTTATACCAAACTGGACCTATACAAAATAAGGTTTTTATATAGTAAATAAAGAGAAAGTAATTAACCTATTCTTATAAAATAAATCCCATTATTATTATTATAAATGCCATTTAATACTAAAATACAAATGCAGAGGATGAAATATATACTGTACAAGAATGAAAATTTATCAAATTTATTTATCTCTTTTCTTCTGTCAGGTCCCTACTTGGATCTGGTTGAGGAACACCAGGTTCATCAAAAATCTATCCAAAGAACTTTTCTTCTGCTTTCTCTTCAGAATATTTTGGCAAAGTGACATTATTTTTATCATTCCAGAAATGTAAAAAAAAAAAAAAAAAAAAAAAAAAAAAAAAAAAAAAAAAATGCTTAAAGAATATGATCAATTAATTCACAAAATGAATAAAAAATTATATTCATAAAAGAGAATCTAGAAAGCAACCCACATGAAACAACACTGAGGCAACTAATATAAGTGCAGTAATACAGTACAAAGTCCGTAATGCGGATATCCATTATCCAGAATGATCTATAATCCGGACCTCAAAGCCACAAACTTTACGCATGCGTGTAAAGAATGTGTATGCTTTACGCATGCGCGCGTTGAAAGAAATGTTTAATAAAGTAAACAAATAAATATTAAGCTTTTTTTTTTAAAAAAAATTTAATACCCTTTAGATCATAATTGCTTTTTATTTCATAAATTACAGTTTTATATTTTTAACTGTATAATTTCTGCATGCCATCTTACCGGATTTAAACTGATGATCTATAATGCGGGAAAACCCTTAATCCGGAATTGCCGAGTCCCGACAAGTCCGGATTACAGACTTTGTACTGTATCTGGCTGAGATCAAGGTTTGGGATCACAGGTTTCCATACATTTATCATACTTACGTGCAAAATGTGTCACAGATTCTCTTGAAAGAGGTAAACAAGAGTAGTACAAGTATGTACAGTCATGACTCATATTCCAAATATAACATATATAATGTTGGACTTATTTTATAGCAGCCATATACTGAAATACCACTGTAATTTATTACATGCATTCTTTCACAGAATTTCTAAAAATATTATATTTTATTAATAAAATTCAGAAATCTTTAATGGCAAGGGAAAAAAAATTAAATTTTGAATTTTATCTTGCTGAAAGCTATTTGCCCATTCCTAAAAATGTATAAAAAATAAATTATGTCATATATTTTGAGAAACAAAAAAGTGATAGAATAAATTTAGCCTCTTTTTTTTTTTTTTTTTTCTTCGTACTTTGATTATTTACCTTGGTTTAAATTTGCAGTTTTTAATGCACTTTTCAACATACATGTGGTAATAAAAAGGCCATGCATCCGCATATCAGGTATATGTTTAAACACATGCAGATTTACATGCTTTATGTTGAATGGTAATTTTGTTAAACAGTATCTACTGTCTGTACAAATGTAAATATTAACTACATAAATTTTTGCTTTTTCTCATGAAATTTCCTGTTTCTTAAAAAAGGCTTCTATTTGTTATTATTTATGAACAGAATAGAACCTATAAGGCATAAAAATAGCCAAACATTTTCTGTTAGCTCATAGAGTTATCAATGAATAGCAACATTTTTGTAGTAGATGCAGATAATCAGAAGCACTTTTTTTTTTTTTTTTTTTTTTTTTGTAATGATTATAATGCATAAATAAGTATATCTGCAACTACAGAGTAACCAAGGAGAAATTATGAAGCTTGAAATTTAACAAATATTTTAAGAATTATCTTAATAATTAGAATACAAAGTAATTACAATTGATGGTTGCAGTAAAATAGGCCCTGTGTGTTCTCGTCATTACAAATTTAATCAATTTTAAAGCATTTAGCTTATCCACGTTTGTGTTCAAAGACTATTTCACACGTTATATAATATTAAGAAACATATTTACATGGCTGTTTCTCTACTCGCAGCTCTTTCTCTACTCGCAGCTCTTTTTAAGCAAAGATGAATTTTTTACACCGAAATAGGAAATAACGCAAATTTAGCTCGGAGTTTTAACGTGTTAATAATCTGTGTGATATCTGCATGCAGTTCATTTATAAGGTATTTCTCCCACCTTCCTAGCGTGTCTTCGTGGTATTGTGGTTCTGCACGCTGCGCCAGTATTTCAGAGATCCACGGTTCGATTCTCGGCAAAGGCGTTTCCTCATTTTTCATCTTGCCTGCTTCCAAAAAAGTACCTAATATCTCTACAGTGGCACCTGAACTAAAAGGGTATTGGATGAAGATTCTCCACACACAGGATTTGGTGATTGGATCTGTTGTTCAGAGGCCAATATTTAGAGTAAAGAAGCCATCGTAGGACAACACACTTTATTTACATGAAGAATGAATAAAGATATCACACAGGAAATCATATTGAGTATCACACAGCAAATAACACATCAGCATCTCTCTACGCTCGAAGCTCGAATGACGGATGTGTCGGTAGAAGAGACAGCTGCGCCATCATACGCATGCGCATAAGAAAAAACGTTCGCTCGCCTCTACCCAACACACCCCTCCTGCGAGCAACATTTTTTTAATGCAAAAATGAAATACAAACAATATATAACACATTACATTAAGAAATTAATGAATCACCTAGTAAAATAGTACCACCAGAAAATGACTTACCATTTTCTGCATTTCCCCAGCTAGCATCAGCATATGCATTTAAAACTCCAAAATCATTGCTATAGAAAAGTTTTTTTATTTTTTGTACCTTTTAAATACCTTAATACCCTTTTAGCCAAAAGATAATGCCTTTTTTCTGGTACATGATTAAATTGTGACAAATAAGTTGTTACAAATGATATATCAGGACGCGTTCGCTAAATATAAAAGTTCCCCAATTAATTCCTGATACAAAATTGCATCAATTTCTTCATTTGTACATGAAAAACCTTTATCTGCCCCTTTAACGATTGGCGTTTTCACTGCTTTACAATTTTGCAGATTGTGTTTAGTCAATAAAGATTCAATATATTCTGTTTGAGACAAACATATACCATTTTCAAGTTTTTCTATTTGCATTCCTAAAAATTTTGAATTAGTATTTTCATGTAACTCAAATACATTTTTTATTTTAGAAACAATATTTTCAAGCATTTCTTTATTATTACAGAATACAGCTAAATCATCAACATACAAACACAATATAAAAATGTTTTTGGTATCATTATAAATGAATATACAATTATCAGATGCTAACTGTACCAGCCCTAGTTTCGGATTGAGGCAACCCATAAATACTTTTCTTCAATTTACATACTTTACCTTCTCCAATCAGTTTTTCATAACCAGGTGGAGGAGTCATATACACATCCTCGTTTAAGTCACTGTACAAGTACGCTGTTTTTACATCATAAAATTTAACAGTCAAGTTTAATTTAGCTGAAAGTGCAAGCAATAATCTAAAACATTCAATGTTAACTACTGGTGAATATGATTCGGTATAATCCTTATTTTTTATTTGATTAAACCCAGCCGCTACTAATCGCGCTTTATATTTTACTTCCCCAGAGTCTCCTTCCTTCAAAGTATACACCCACTTACTTTTTACTAATTTTGTTTTTTTCAGGCCTCTCTACTATTTCCCACACTTCGTGTTTATGTAATGAATCTATTTCATTTTCCATTGCGGATTTCCAGTCATACCAATTAGCACTTTGTTTTGCTTCTGAAAAATTATTCGGAACATTACTGATTATACTTGACGCTAGTTGTTTTGATTTGAGCCTCTCGGATCGTCTTAACGGTATTTCATTTCCATATTTATTACTTTTTTCATAGCTATCAGATGTTTGGACTTCATTCCCCCTGTCATCACCCCCGCAACAACGGCTCATGTCGCCGATTTCGAAATTCGATGAGTCATCATATTCGCTTGCTTGAGTATTTTCCGTAACAACCAATTCGAGGTGTGGTTTTTGATCTACTTCGTTTCCCTTTCTTTCTAATTCTTCAATATCCCAAGTTTCTAAGGTTTTATTTTTTTCCCATATAATTACTACCCTTTAAAGATTCGTTAAATTTAACTGATCGTTCTTCAATTATTTTGTTACTTGCTATATCATAAATACGATATCCTTCTCTTTCTCTAGCATATCCTAACATTATCCCTCTTTTCCCTGGTATGTCAAATTTGTTTCGCATTACTTTCGGAATGTGAAAGTATGCCACACATCCAAACCTTTTTAGATAGTTTAATTTGGGTTTTTTACCAGTCCAAATTTCTAAAGGAATTTTTTCTTTTCCTTTCCGGGGTGTTAAATTTGATACTTGAGTACTAAAATTAATTGCTTCTGCCCAGAATTTTACCGGAAGCTCACTCTCATGTAGTAATGTCCTAGCTCTTTCTAAAAGAACTCTGTTTGCTCGTTCAGCTTTTCCATTACTCTCACTGTTATATGGAACTGTTTTTTCATGAAAAATACCTGAATTAGCAAGATAATTATCTAATTGTTGATTTACAAATTCTAAACCATTGTCTGTTCTCAAACGTTTAATTCTTTTACCAGTCAAATTTTCATACTTAGCTTTAAATTTACAAAATGCGTCAAACACTTCACTTTTACTTTTAAGAAAATAAGTAAAATACATTCCAGAAAAATCATCCACTAAGATCATAAAATATTTAGACCCACCAATTGATTCAGTTTGAACAGGGCCACATAGATCCGAATGAATTAATTCTAAAATTTCTGAACTCTGATTAATGTCAATATTTGGATGACTTTTTTCTAGTTATTTTACTTATGTCACAAGTTTCACACTTAAAATCACTTA